CTGCATTCACAGAACAGTTACGGCAAAAACAAATTTAAGGGGAGGTTACTCTTGTACAATAAAATCCAGTGGAACTCTAGTGTTTTACCTGCAGTGGGACAGGGAACCTTAACCAAGAAACAACTGGTGAGGACCAACATCAGTTACCTTTCTTCCTCTGAATGGTGTTTCCCTTCTGGCCCTAAGATCATGAAGCGATCTTGTGTCTAAATTTGACTTCAGTTTGGACTTAGCCAATCACAAATAACGTCATGAAAAGTGAACTTGTGAGGACAAACATCAGTTACCTTTCTTCCTCTGAATGGTGTTTCCCTTCTGGCCCTAAGATCATGAAGCGATCTTGTGTCTAAATTTGACTTCAGTTTGGACTTGGCCAATCACAAATAACGTCATGAAAAGTGACGTCATAAATGATTGGCTTAGCAAAAACTTCTAAGTCTAAGATCCTTTCATGATCCCAGTGCCAGGTAGCTGTGATCCTTGTCAGTATAATCTGACCAGTTCATGTTTCAGGCTACCTTGTGCAGGTTACAGTATCTATTTTTTTTAGTGAGGTGGCTCTCTCTCTCTCTCTCTATATATATCAGTTGGAATTCCCTTAAGTTCCTGAACTTAATTTCCTAAATAGTTGTGAAACTTGGGCTGGGTGATAGCTGTTTTTCGGCTGGAGTAATATCTGACTTTTAACTGTTTAACTCTTCCTCACATTGTATTGTTACAGAAACATGTTTACTTTTGTACTCTCCCTGTATTTCTATAGTGTTGTGTTGGTGTCGGTAAACTTGATATTTACTTCTCTAACGTGGCGGTGTGTCATTATATTTATACAACCATCAATATGAGGTAATTAGCAGGCATAATATACCTGGGAGTGTGTACCACTGTGATGATATAAGGGTGCTCTGAGTGCTGCTTTTGTAACCCAAAGAAATCAATATTTAAATGTTTGTTCTGATTGTTGAGGTGGGATGTAACAGAAACACGATGTATTTGATATTTATATGACAATAACAGAACTTACAAGAATATATAGAGAGCATATTATATCATTGAGACAATTTGAAAATCAAAAATTTCGTAATTCTGATTCACATCAAATATTACGTGAGGTGTTTGGATTGTAATTCACATATATATACTAGTGTTTACAAAACTTGAGTGTGTTTTTCTACTCTGTTTAGCGGATACGTTTATTTGTTAGCCCTTGTGAATGACCCGTCAATATGTCACATCAACACAATAAGGTCATACAGGGCCTTGCAGTGGTCTAACCTGCCCATTGACACAATAAGCTATGATAATGACGCTTACAGGTTGGCTGTATAGAAACTTTTCTTTTTAGAAGGGCCATGTGAGCTTATGCCGTACTGCAGTGTCCTTCATCTGTTGTCAATCGTTCGTCTATCTGTCATCTGTCCATCAACTTTTTCTTTTGAACGACTTATTCTGAAGAACTGCAGGACCTAGGGTCATGATATTTGGCCATTAGGTACCTCGGATAGAGTGCTATAAAGTTTCCTCATTAAAATGACNCAGGACCTAGGGTCATGATATTTGGCCAGTAGGTACCTCGGATAGAGTGCTATAAAGTTTCCTCATTAAAATGACCTACTTTCAAGCTCACTGGGGTCAAATATGTTAAAAGTTTCAAACAACAATAACCATTTGGACTAGAGTCATGATACTTGGGTATGTTATGTAGACCAGCAATGCAAATATTTTTCTCAATTACAGTAATGAGGTCAAAGGTCAACTATGTGCTAGTCAGGGGTCAAATGTCAACAAGGGTTAAAAGCTTAAACAATCTTCTTCTCAATTTCCATAAGACCCAGGGTCATGATATTTGGCCAGTAGGTACCTGGGATGGAGTGCTATAAGGTTTCCTTATTAAAATGACCTTGACCTATTTTCAACCTCACTGGGGTCAAATATGTTTAAAACTTCAAACAGCAATATCCTAAGAACCATTTGGACTAGTCATGATACTTGGGTATGTTAATATGTAGACCAGCTGTGTGAATTGTTTTCTTTAATACTGTAATGTGGTCAAAGGTCAACTTTAAGTGCAAGTCTGTTGTCAAAGGTCAATGTGTGTTAAAAGCTTTAAAATTATAATTTCCAATTCTAAACAACAATTTCTTCAGAACCGTTTAAGAGATGTTAAAATGTCTTGTGTGCTAGTTACCAAATTTGGTCTGACGTTACCTATATGTCAGTTTCATGTAACAAAAGAAGCAGGTGAGCGATACAGGCCTTGTTTAAAGTTGTATCAAATTATTTTTATGATTCTTGTTAGCGTTGATTGTAGCGTATGCATGCAGGATGTTAATGTGGGGAGAAACCGGCTAGAATACCCAGGGAAACCCAAGTAGTTGGACAGATGACCCATACCTATATACGTCAGATTAGGGAATCAAACCCCGGCCATCTTGATGAAAGATGAGTGCGCTATCCACTGCATCACCTGACCACCCTAAATAGCCTAACAGTTATGTACTTATATTCTAGGGGGGAAGGGAGAGACAGGAATCCTCGGAGAGAAGACAGAACATCTATTACAGGAAAAGTCCCCTATCTATAGAGCTTAATGTTTCTAAATGTAGCAATCAAGCATCATCTGTACAATCAGTAAGTTTGGAATCAGGGATTTAAAACTGCCTCAGCCTGATCCGTATTACATCCACGTACGATCAACGTTTATTATTGCCTCAGCCTGATTCGTATTACATCCACATACGATCAACGTTTATTACTGCTTCAGCCTGATCCGTATCACATCCACGTACGATCAATGTTTATTATTGCCACAGCCTGATCCGTATCACATCCACGTACGATCAACGTTTATTATTGCCTCAGCCTGATCCGTATTACATCCACGTACGATCAACGTTTATTATTGCCTCAGCCTGATCCGTATCACATCCACGTACGATCAACGTTTATTACTGCCTCAGCCTGATCCTTATTACATCCACGTACGATCAACGTTTATTACTGCCTCAGCCTGATCCGAATCACATCCACATACAATCAAAGTTTTATTGTTGCTTGGTGACATTTTTTTGAATCCATCAAAGGATTTGGCTTCTTCCTTGTCATTTCAAAGATTTATATCTGAAACCCTAATATCCTGTGTATTCACTCAAGGTTTTCATTATCTTCAAATCATTCAAAATACAAAACATTTCATATCTTTTCTGGAACAAATAAACATTTTAGTGATAGAATCATGTAGATCTTATGCCCAATTACAGGTAATTTAAACAGCTGTAAAAAAATGATCAAATCACCTTATTTTATTTTTTTTATTTCATTTTCATTTTATTTAAGATGTTATTATAGGAATAGAAACATACCTTTTTCCTTCCTAGAATTCGGTAATAAAATTCAATTGACTTTTTTTTTTATGTCTAAATTACACATTGCACAATCTGCACGGTAATTTGACGACTGGTTTTGTGAGGTGGATTTCTATGTACAGGTACACGAAGGTAATGGGTGGTAATGTTGCGTACGCTGAAGATTGTATCGTGTCAGGTTTGATAAAAGGTTGCCCACGTTCTTGATCATATCCTGGTATCGGATGATGTTGTTCTCATTGTTGAAATGAAATCCTGTAAGTTTAGAAATATTTAATTTCAATGCATAGGTAATTTTACATGATGCATTGAAGACACATAATCGTTTCTAAATTTTTCAAGTGGAAAACCACTATCTTTGTTGTGAACTGATGCTAAGGGAACATGCATTTGGTAAGCTATATACGAATCTCCAGTTTGATATTTTCCCGTATGATGATCTCTGTCTGACAAGGTAGACGGATCTCACTCAGTAAGCAGTGTGTCAATGTACGCCGTTGTTACTGTGCCTCCGCACAGGTTAGTGGTTCTAAGATCATCTGGAGCCGTATTTGTATGGAATATTGAAACTCCAGCAGGATTGAATCCAAAGTGAGTGTAATACAATCAGTGTCATAATAATAGGATGTAATCCTCCAGGCCGCTGTGAATTATTATTCGTTGTAAGTAACTAGTGGGGGGGGGATGTCTTATTGAAGTTGTCCTGCTCACTTTGACATCATTCTTACTGTACTGTTAGATGGGAATTAATTTCTGTCGCCAATGTAAAGTTGCCTTTTTTCTTCATGAACAAGAGGGTGAATCCAAGATGTGGTCAAATTTATCTTAAGATGTTGCTATTCCTAGAAGGTTTTATCAGATAATTATAAGAAGTACCAGATTCTGTCTGTATGTTTTCACCATTGTTAACATGTACAGAGCTACCTTCAGAGGTACAATGTCTGAGAAGTCAAGATTTGACAGTATTTCTGTTGCTAGGGAACATAACAATACAAACTAAACTGTTACTGTGGACACAACCTTCCCTGATTATACAAAAGTGTTTTTATTGAGATAACTGTATTTTGCATGCATTGGTAGATTTGAATTTAAATATATATTTCTGTCTGCATAGCAACCCGAGTGCTATATAAAGCTAGGGTTACTATAAGGATACAGAAAGTAATGGGATATTAGTTCATTTTCGAATAGACATACTTGTGTAAACTTTTACGACCTTTTGTAATTGAAAAAAAGTTGATGAATAGATCTGTTTCATCACAGTATGTAAAATAAGTTTCATCTCCCGAGTGTTTTTTGCTGAAGTAAGTTATGCCTGTTTGGAAATAAACTTAACTAGGGTATCAGTCATGAATATTAATGAGATGGCATCCATTGTTATTCTCTCCTCCGCTGACCTTTGTCACTAGAGGTCGGCCAGACAGGTGAGGAAACGGTAGGTAGACACACTGTGGTATTGGAATGTAAATAAAATGTGAGATGAAGTGTCTAGATTCAGTTGGTATCAAGGAAAAATACTGTTACACGAAACCGGTGTTATTTAAATTACCTAGACCGTTACCATGACTTATCAAATTTTATATACACAGCGATGGGTAGATGCATTTTATAAATGTTATTTGCCTTTGTGTTTTGCAGGTGTCAGGCTGACCTTGTTGGATGTTGGACATTTATCTGCATGAATAGTACGTGCACAGGTGTGAATTGATGGAAATATGTATTATCAGGTGTAAACAGCTGGATACCTGTATCGTCTAATTAACAGGTTGGTTGTTTTTACTGTTTTACAGGATTATGGGTTTTAAATGTGAAATGTGACACCAGAGTACTTGGTACAAGTTTTGTGTTGTGGTATTGACTCTGAGAGAATGATATTTCAAGGAAAAACCAAGTTTGTTTAGATTTAAAGAGGGCCACATTGAAACGTCATGACGTGGTCCTCACGGTAAGTATAACACCTGTCTCTGAGTCGCATCAGTTAAGCAAACTTAAGGGATGTGATTATAAAATCACCACCTAGTCGAATAGAATGAAGAATAGAGATGTAAATCCAGGGCTTGACAATAAGGGTAGCATGCGTTGTCTGTGGCTAGTGAAATCTCCAGCTGGACTAGTGGTTCTAAAACCTGTAAACCCGATTGATTAGTCCAAATTTTGTATATAACTTAACATGTTGAATAATATTGGATCAGTGGAATAAGCACATGAACCGGGAAAATTGGAAACTACTTGCCCAACTGATTATTCGCTCACCTGGTCCGAAGGACCAAGGTGAGCTTATGCCATACCGTGGCGTCCGTCGTCCGTCCGTCAGTCCGTCAACAATTTCTTTAAACGACTTCTTCTTCTTAACCACTGGTTGGAATTAAACTAAATTTGACTGGAAGCATCCCTAGGTG